GCGAGCGAGAGGAAAGACAAAAAGGGCATTTGCAACGGCCAGTTCGCCCCGCTTTATCGGCCCAACTGAGCATGCCTTGGAAACACCGCGGGGCGTAAAGTGGCTTTTTTTCGTCCTAGCTACTGGTGAGATTCCCCGGTGACAGTTGGTGAGCACCTAGTCAGCTTAGAGGTCTGGGAGTGATGTGTTCTCTCCCAGCCTCTCTCATGGATGTTAACGCCGAGCGCCAGTCTGGTACACTGTCAGCTTTATCTTGCACGGATCTCAACTATCCTGGCACAGGGCAGCTCTCCAGGTAATGGAAAAAGTTAGATGAGCAAGTTTCTTACAAATTGCTCTCTGTGATCCGGCTGGCTCAAGGCGCTTGTGCTCAAGGCTGACAGATTCAAGAGAAGATGAGGAGGCATGTCGGTGTGACAACCTGGCTAGTTCCAGAGGCGCTGGGAACGGCCTGGTGAGAGGGGCTGGGGCTGTCTGTGGCTTTTGAAGGCTTGCTTTTTTGGACCTGACGCTTCGGGTGGGCATTGACAAGGTTTACCTTGAAGACGATCTGCTGCCTGGGGACCTTGATCTTGACCTGGAATATGGTGATCGGGAGCACGACCTGTGTCGAGAAAAGGACCTTGAACGAGAGCGCATCCTTTGGGGTCTTTGAGCAAATAAGGATTTGGGTGGTGACACGGAATCTCTACATGGAGAGTTAAAAGAAGAGCAAGAAGGCGACACATCGAACAATGAATAGGATTGCGTGCCATCCCAAGGGTAGTTCAGTTTATCACTTTCATCTTCGCTGTCATCAAATAGGCCATCCATGGCTAGTCCTGAATTTATAAACATAGGTAGTTTGGAGAATTGTTCATTACTGAAATCACTGTCCCTCAGTTCACTGGTCTTGTCTGCTTCGTCGTCAAAAACAGCTCGACTGGGATGACCGAAGTGCTTGTTCAGCTCAGCTCGGATTTCCTGGTCTTGGAGCTGTTTCCTGGTGCCGCAAGGAGAGACCTGCTTGCCCGCCTCCGAAGTCTCTCTCAGGTAGCACTGGTCTGAATCTGTGGAAGAACAAGTCTGCCCCTGCCAGTCGGAGGAGGCATCTTTATATTCTAGTGGTCTAGAGTCTTGGAGCTCCTGTGATATATTAATGAGTATCTCCGTTTTGGAATTAATCGACTGACAATAGTCATGGTCACCAAACAGCCGTAGGCTGGGCCGCTTGGTCTTCCTTTCCTCGTGGCCACTGGTGAGCACGGAGGTCTTGCTGAGTTGGGCGTACAGCTCAGACTGCTCGGGCCCTTTCTTGGCGGAGTTACTGCCTGGGGCGCCAGAAGGCTCACTGCTCCGGGGCTTCTTCGACGGCGGAGGTACCACAGTCTTGCAAGAGGACTTCAGCTTTGGAGAAGTCCTGAAAGGATTATCTTGGTTGGCTTTATGAGGAGGAGTTGTGGGTGGAGTTAGGCCTGAAGGTCAAAAAGGGAAAAAACAAACAAACAAACAAACAAACAACAACAACACGGAGGGGGTGGGGTGGGGAGAGAGACGGAGATAATGCTGTTAAATGCCAGGATATGGTTCCCTAACTCCTCCAGGATTTCAGACAAGGGTGAGAAAGAAGGAAACGAAATTCATGACAAGACCTGAAAAAGTGCCTTTCGCCCCCTCTGCCTCTGTCCCCAAGAAAAGATGGATCTCACTACCTCCGGGCAGCAGGGAAATCCGTGATGCTTTGGCTTTATACGGCCATGCTAACAGATCTCGCTTCCCAGAAAACGTTCACGCCTCCTACCGGCCTCCGTGGCACCAGGCATTACCAAAGCTCACATTGCCAAGGGCATCGTCTGTCTGCTTTACGGAGAATTAACAGCATGGCCCAGGGGAATCACAGAGTAGCTTTGGTAGCATTTGTCTGCAAAGAAGGCTGCGGAGCATACGAGTGGCTCAGAAGTTGTTCTCCGATCAAGGATATCTACCCTTGGAGCCCAAGAACTAGGCAACTTAAAAAAAAAAGAAAAAGAAAAAAAAAAGATGGGATGATAGCAAATGTGGGGCAGGGTCAGAGTGACAGAGACAACTTCAAAGATAAGGTCAGAAAAACACAACAGACCAAGGCAGGGAACGAGACAACTCTGCAAGTTGATGGCAGTGATTGTCTCCACAGTTCATTAACTTGGTAAACCATGGCTAATGTAGGTATAATACTTTCTTGTAAGCATAACTAATACATTCTGTCTAAAATATGGTTCTGCAACAGAAACCTAAATGAACAGGAACACTAAATATTGCAGTACCAGTGGACCATTTTATTTAGAGCACAACATCGGGGCGGGGGATGAGGCTGAGGGATTGCAACAGATCCACACGTCAGCAACCAACTCATTAAAAACGTGGGGAAAAAAGGGAGACGGGAGAAACCCCGTCAGTGGGTGCCTTTCGTCCTTTTCTAGGGAAGAGCAGAAAAATTCCATCAGATGCCGTCATGGGAGAGTCTGTGAATTACAGTTTGCCTCCTCTATGTTTTACCCCGGAGAAAGTTCTACGCATCTCTTTACACCGAGGGAGGATAATTGGGAAGTGGCTCCAGAGTCCAAGGAACTTTGAAGAAGGGCAGGCTGGAGTTCAAATGACTTTATGCTTACAAGGGAATATTTGAGTTTACAACACACTTTCTATTTAGGAGGATGGGTGAAGGCTATTCAGCAGAAAAGAACTTCAAGTCTGCTAACAAGCCTGGGGTTAGACTTAAGGCAACTGCACATTCCAAGGAAATGGCAGAGAAATCTAACCTTGCTGGAGTAAGGAAAAAAAAAAAAGTATATATATATATTTATATATATATATATATGTATATACACACACACATAACCAAGTAGGTCACAGAAAGCCACTTGAAATTTTGGTATGAACAGGAAGATACTGCCTCTTTCTCTCACTTTACAATAAAGAGATGAGAGAAATTAATATTAATATTTCCTCTATAATAAAATAGTTTACAACTAATATTTGGCAATTTTTATTATGCATAGCTAATGCTCCTTAAATGAGGAGAGGAAAGCTACAAAAATGCAAAGTAATTTGACTCTGGAAATCCATCCCAGAAAAGTTCAGAAAGACAGGGAAATATAAACACAAAGTGAAGGGACACATCAGGGTCCCAGCAAAGCTCCCTCGATTAGCAGTCAGGCACTCTTCGCTGGAAGAGAACCGGGAGGTGACGTATTATTGAAGGAAACATCTGTGTCACTGAGGCAGGCTCTCCTTTTGTCCCCTCTTTCGTGGACAAGTATGTCTTTTCTTCCATTAAGAAATTCCTATATAATCAATCTTTCTCCTTTCTCTCTCTCTTTTTTCCCTCGTCTCCTTTACCTTTTGCACTGCCCCGTCATAACACTGATTTCTACCGCATGCTACCTTCAATTGCCATTACAACAAATTTAAAGATACTAATAATCCCACCCCCAAAGAAATGACAGATTCTTAGATATTTCTCATAGGAGGTTAAGATGCTCAAAGAAATGATGAATAATCTCTCTTTGCAGAGCAAATAACAGTCAAATATTCCAAATGACATAGCCCTTGATTGGGGGAAAAGGACATTCGACATCCTAAAATCCAATTCCATAAATCTTTTCATGGTTTCCAAACTAGGGTAGTTTTTACTTTCCTAATAATTTACTGCCAGGATCATTCATTTGATACTTATCGGATAATGCTATATATTCTTGCTCATCTCTTTTTGAATGTATGTTTTATCTTGTCTCTCCAAATAGATTATATGCTCTTAGTGGAAATGTTGCCTGGGCTTATTTTTGCAAAAATTCTTACTCATTTATTTTTTTTTTCCCCCTAGGGACGTCTGGGTGGCTCAGTCAGTTAAGCATCTGCCTTCAGCTCAGGTCATGATCCCAGGGGTCCCGGGATCGAGCCCCACATTGGGCTCCCTGCTCAGCAGGGAGCCTGCTTCTTCCTCTCCCTCTCTTGCTCCTCCTGCTTGTGAGCGCGCTCTCTCTCTCTTTGTCAAATAAATAAATAAAATCTTTAAAAAAATTTTTTTTTCTAGATTCTCCTTACATTTCAGTGGCCCAAGAATAACTTGGGAAGCTGGTCAAACATTTTTAATGAGGTGGCTCGTGGACCACATATGGAGAGCATCTGTCCTGCCATGTTCGTGCCGCACATCGCCTTGTTCTCAGTTACATGTATTTTGACTGACATTCTAGACGTATAAAAAGAAACCCTAAACTTCAGAAACTCCAAATTAGGCCACTATTAAAGAGAGACTAGTTCTAAAAATAGCTCAGCTATCTAGGGATTTTAAATATAGAAATTCTTTTTAGTCTTGAACATCTGAAACCCTTGTCCTAGTACCTAAGCTCATTATCGCTTAAATAACTGATTCTCAAGTTGCTATTGGGAGTGGTGACACCCTGATTGTCGTGTTTTTTGGGGTTTTTTTTAGTTAAAAGCCCAGGCTTTTACCTTCTTCACATCTTAGGCAGCCTGTAGTAATGGGAACAGACATTTCACTGAACACCTATTATGTGCTGGATCATACATCAGATGCGGATACATAAGGGACTTCGTGGTCCCTTTTAAAAAATGGGCAAATCTTCAAAACTTGAAGTTAAGTACATGTTCTTGCGCATGTGCTTAAAATTTACAGAAACACTGAGATAACCAAATATACCCTATGAGTGAAAATAGCAGGGCTGTAAATTTCTGTTGGCACACTTTGTTAAAAAAAATAATAATACTTGCCTAATGGATTGAAGTTATTTTAAGATTAGTGAGTACATGGGTAAGGGAAAAACAATTCAGATAATTCCCTAAACTTTTTACTGTTTACTGAAATGTCTTTATCCAGAGAATACCTCCAAGCAAGACCGAGAAATCTCAAGGATGGAACCACCAGCACCTAATTGAAAATGTATTTCCAGATAGAGTGGAGACCCAAAGCAAAACAAAGAAAGCAAAAGCAAAACAAAAGTGTAAGAAGAACTTGTTTTTTTGTTTTTTTTTTTTTGTTTTTTTTTTTTAATGTAGTGTCAAACTTTTAAGAGCCACTGATGGGACAGGGACCCCTTGCTGCACCTGAGCTAATTGGATCTCTACCATGTCCCCCAGCCAGAACTCAGTTCCCCGGCGTTCGGAAGACAGTCAATACTCAATTCCTTAATGCCGCTACCTTTGCTCATCTTCCCTCTAATGGCCAGACTCTCAATTTCACCCCACAAGCTTAAATCAACAGTGCTAATGCCTCCCATAACCTCCGGATTATTTCCTGCGTGTTGATTTTCTGGGGAATGTGTACATTTTGGTGTTGACAGTACAAGGTATATTCCATGCTCTCTCTTGAACTTAGCAGGTTTTGACAGATTTATGTGAGGACAGATGGCCATTACAGGCTGAAGGCTGACAAGAGGCAGTTCAGAGCATTGTTAACACACTTGCACAAACTCTCAGCAGTGCAGCACTGTGCAGAATGTAATTCAGACTATAGCTTTTTTATTACTGCCTATTTTCTTTTGTCAAAAGAGCCTGCTGTGCAGAGCAAAAAATGGCTGCTATTACCCGGAATGTAATGGGTGTCAGACAAATCACGTAACACAAACAATCAAGAGTATGTAGGTCATATTTCAAGAGAGCACAACCTTAGCAATATTTATGATTACTGCATTGAAATGTGTTCTATAATAAACAAGTACCTCTGCATCACTCACACTTATGCACTTATGCACAGCAAATCGGGGAGAAGTGCTACATACTCCACAGTCATCTTTTTAAACAGCCCTTTTATTTAAAAAAAAAAAAAAAGTCAGAGACAAGTTTGGTTTGGTTTGGTTTTTCATGATGTGCCATAAAATGATTTTCTTTGAGGAGCTCTCTTTTGGGTTTGTTTGTTTAATTGAATGACTCTGATGAATCAATGATGACTCCGCTGGGGTGTGTGTGTGTGTGTGTGTGTGTGTGTCCACGCACGCGCGTGTGTGTTCCACAAGCCACCCAATGACTTCAGCAGGGTTGGTTTGTTCATTTTTTAATAGTTTATAGCATTTTACAGAATCTACTCCTCTAACTGTGACTCGTTTCAGAGTTTCTTTGACAGTGGGATTTTTCTTAGGTCACGGGTCAATTGAAATATTTCTTAAGGAGAAACAATGAGAAGATGAGTTTCTAAGTTGCTTAAAAACTTACCCAAAAAGAAGGACTGGGCAGAGAGGCCTGTGGCTTATCCCACTCCTAGATTTTATGCCTCAAGAACTTGGAGTGGGTGTCAAGAGACCATAGGACGGGCTGATACTAAGTATGAACTGTTCCTGCTCTGCTAGTGAGAATATTTTGTTATAAAAGCTCCTCTCGGGCCCTCCTTGGGCCCTCAACTTCCCCAGGACTCCCTGGAGGTCCAGAGGAGCCAGCCGCTGAAGTGTGAATGTTCCCAGGGAGGAACCTCTCCCACCCTGCT